GTATATATTTCTATTGCCGCTATAACAACAAATAATAAAAATAAATAAAAATAAAAAATACCAGATTTTTTTGTCGTTCGTAATCGACCATCTTAACTCTAACTGGTGTTAGAGATGAACGAAGATAGGCAAGATGCAGGATGCGGCAGGACAGTTGTGGCCCTTTGCCAATCCATTCGTTCCACCGTCTGAAAATCATGCGCCTGGACATAGTTTGCCTTGGCAGACCTGGAAATCTCCCAACAGACACCGGACTCAGGTTGGCCGAAGCAAAGAAAAGGGTTTTTCGGAGGGCGGCCTGGAGTGCAGATGTGGTACTGTTCCTTAAACGATGAGGCACTTATTGGCATGCCCTGCTTACCCTGGACGCCACTGATAAAGCAACAATCGTGGCTGAATTTTAGGCTGACTCAATTTAAAACTTGCCATCGACACGAGGAGAAGAAGATCGATCATCGAAGTTAATATACTATATACATAGAGTAAAAGTCATATTAATAAAAAGTACCTACATGTACGATGGTACGAAATCCTTCGTGTGCGAATTCGACTCGCACTTGACCGATTTTTTATTCGTCTATAAAGCCTGAATCAGGTTGTATAGTCTCTATAAAATATAAGGACTCATAATAATTAACAACACAAAATTCTGATATTTGTCTATATTTTAGTTAAGATGTCTTTTGAATATAATACATGTAAGTCATAACATTTCCCAATATAACCCAGTATGGGTTTTTGTAATTCAAAGTAAAATTTCACACAAAAGCTTACATAATATTGCATATATTTCCGCAAATTTATTGTCTATTTCTATACAAATTCCGGTGTTACCGATATATTTATTGAACAATTCAAGGATGTGAGTTCTAGATGTACATATATAATAGCTGTTTTATGTACCTATAGTATTTTTAGAACGAAGGCATTATCTCCAACATTATAATCTACAATTACCATAAAATCACCATGAATCTACATTTGATAGATATAATTCGCCGTTTGCGGTTGATCCTTAGTCCCAAAAAAATTAACCATAATTATTGTCAAAGACAGTCGAAATCGATCACGAAGGTCTACTGACCGCCATGACATCTCATTTTCTTTCCCCTATGTATTTATTAAATGAGAATTGTGTGTAAATAATACCTATTGAAGGGCAATAATACGACACGCGAGCCTTTTTGTTGATCGTCAATAAATGTCTACATTGTAGCAGGTAATTATTATCTGATTACTTATGAAGACGTTATATTAACTACGATTATTATTATTGGTACAAATTATTATTATATATTACTTTATGACAAAATAATCAATACAAAATAGAGCAAAAGAAATTAGAAATAATAAATCTAAGTAGAAAGGTGTCTGTTGGGAGATTTCCAGGTCTGCCAAGGCAAACTATGTCCAGGCGCATGATTTTCAGACGGTGGAACGAATGGATTGGCAAAGGGCCACAACTGTCCTGCCGCATCCTGCATCTTGCCTATCTTCGTTCATCTCTAACACCAGTTAGAGTTAAGATGGTCGATTACGAACGACAAAAAAATGTGGTATTTTTTATTTTTATTATTTGTTGTTATAGCGGCAATAGAAATATATATTATTGGAAAATTTCAACTCTTTACCTATTACGGTTCATGAGATACAGCCCTCTGACGTGACGTGATTTTTATACTTTTGGCCTAGCCAAAGAAAAGACGGTATACTAGCTCCATCCATGACGGTATGCAGATATCCCTTCCATGTGGCACGCTTAGCATGGCCACAGTTAGACACAATGTAATCAAAAATAATTAATAATTAGGTAATAATTGGCAATTGAGATCTACACGATTGTTGATAAGCGATAATTAGTCACGCAATTATCATCCAAGGTGTTTTAGCTAATGGCAAGAGATCAGCAATAACTTGAGTAAACTTTTTAAAGAAGGAGTAGATAAATATTTCTGCATGAAATTTGTTTAAGACGTAATGTAAACTATGTCAACGTCTTCATCAATTACGTCTAAATTATAACGCAAGAAAATTTTATTACGATCGACCCGAGCTGAGCTCCTTGTCTTAGCGCTTAAATACGATCTACCTAACTAACCTACGCGTTCTCAATTAAAAAGGAGGTCATACTAAGCGGTTTCGAACTACATTAAAAACAGCGCTGGATTTACACTAGGGGCACTCGGGGCTAGTGCCCAGGGCGGCTAATTTTTAGGGATGGCAAAATTCGTAAGGTGGGAAAGAACTCTTTCTTTATTTTACAAAAATGATTAATAAAAAAATTAACTAGTATGTACATTTTTCAAAAAATTGAAATCATTTATAAATTATAATTTTGTATTTTTCAAAAAAATTATAATTAAAAAAATATTAAAATTATGCAAAATGCAAGATTTCGATAATAGAGCTCATTTTTTACAGTGCCCAGGGGCGGCGCTTAGGTTGAATCCGGCCCTGCTTAAAAGAATAGGTTTTATATGCACAGATGGGTTTGTATTAGATATAAAAATTAACTTATCAAGGTATGTAATATTAGGTACCTATACTCAATATAATGTTCTTACTACCTACTATATATTATCTTTTTGACTAATACAAAGTCAAATCTAGGCAAAAGTCATAACTAGCCATTTTTACATTGCCATTATTATCAAATAGGCGTAAAATAAAAAAAATGACATTAAAAATTATTATATTACACGTGTTAGAAAATGTGGAAGATTAAAAGAGTCACACCATTCTTTATATATATTTATATTTGGTATAAGTACAATTTTTCTGGCGTTCTAACCTTATTTCACCTAGATACTTCCTCAGTAAAGTTCGCGCGTCCTTAGCAACTTTTTACAAGATTTGGTTTATGATATATCCCATAAGAACTACTTGGTGCACTTTATTTCTGCGTTAATTAAGCACAAAATAATAACTATATTGTTGCATTTACAATATTAGTAAAAAAATGATTAATGATAGCTTAAATTATAGTTTTTTCGTCTTCCTTACAAATTTATAAAAACTTATATCCGGTTCGTTCGGAGTTTTTACTAAAATACATCCGCCAAATAAGTAATACCATACATAAGCAACAATTTTAAAAAACGGAAACCGCTGGACTGATTTTCACGTGACTTTCACTGGCAGATAGCTGATGTTGCCGGGCACTACTGGCCACTGGCTAGGAACCAACCATTCCCCTAAATGAATCACAATCTATTAATCCTTATGAGCCGTTTTAGAAATTAGAAGTCAGTTAAAAATGTCAATAGTTAATACTACAACTATACCAAGCAATCCATTCCAAACGTACTAACAACTCAATAACTATTTAAAAAAACTAAAAGGTCAGAAAATTGCACAATTTAAGAGTAAACAAATTACCCACAATTATCCGGGGGCGGCATCGAACTCGGGATGAAGCAATTTGTGGTAATCAAAGGACAATCCCATGCTATTAACTTTGTCGGCACTAGTAGCATTTACCCGGAAACTCAGCTCTTATTATAAAGATAAAATTAGCCTAATTAAGCTATTATGTTATTATATGCAGCTGATGAGAAATGTTCTCTATTTTATTTATAAAATATCACAAAGTTGTACTTAAAGGTAACGGAATTTGCTATGAGATAATAATACCTGCCTAATGGCTAATTGGAGTTTTAAAACTGAAGAAATATAACAGTGGCTTATCACGGCATTGTCCTGCACGATTTTTTTGTATTCGATTTTAAACGTACAATCAGCCGAGGGTTCACACGGTAGATTTTCATTCGTGTAAAAACGAATATCCGCAGTTCTCATACGTCACAGTGAGAAGACGTCAGTGGTGGATCCAATTACGTTTAAGTTAATTCGATTTGCTTAAAAAGTCCGGTGAGTATTCGTTTAAACGTATAAACGGTGTACGATTTTTTCCAATACAAAAGACGTGTGAACGGTTCTATGTACAATGTATGTGCCACTAGATATTCGTTAAGACGTATTATACTGTAAAAAAACATGCATGATAATGCCGTGTGAACACAGTCTTACAAAGTAAACGTTTGTAGAATTAATATTATTGCACTGGTGGATGTTTAAAATTCAAACTTTTTTCTTGAAGGAATTTATCACATTGTTCTTTTTTTTATTAAATTTGTGTTACAGTCAAAACTATTTTTTAGTTAAAACTACTTTTGGCTAAGGAGGTTGAACAAAGGTAGTTTTGATTGCACGTATAAAAATAATAATTAAGTAAATACATTATAATTAACTGAAAAATAATATTGGGAAAGTAAGAAAATAAAAAACTTTATAACATAACACTACTTATGAATTTGGATATTTGGATGCGGTTTTTTGTCGTTAAGATCTGCATTCATTCCAAAGAGGTATAATAATAAATATACAGGATTTATTCAGGAACAATGAACTGGTGGTGGTTTTAAATGTCCTTTTTCTGTCATCAGTTTTATGGACGTGCGCTGACCAAGTAGTTGTATAATTTAATATTTTACACTAATAATAATATAAATTATATAAAAATAGATATTTGATTCTTTATGTTGTCGTTCTGGTACAAAATATTTTTTTGAGTTTTCTTAAGTTGTCATCTCAAGTGGAAAAAAGGCGGGAAAAGCTTCGTTTTGTTTTATGAATTAAACTTTAAAGCATTACGTCATGTTCATTCGTTTTCGTAAATCGTAATGATGTAAAGATAAAACTTTACAATGTCATTTGGTTATATAGTGAAATAAATAATGTAAAAAGAAATAGATAAAATATCTATTATTAATAATTGTAAAACTATTAATATTTTAAAAATGGACATTACTTTTATAATAATTAAAATCGGTATACTTCATATTAAAGTTGTTTATTATTTATTTAGAATCCGTGTTGTGTGTACAAAAATTCTTTACATATTTATTTACTTGTGAGAATTTAATCTCACATATTAAAATCGATGAACAAATAATAAAACCATAAACACAGTTCACAATTTATTACAAATAAATGATTTAAATATTCTGCTTCGTTTCCTTAGCATTTTGGAGTGCTTGGGTCAGATATAACTTGGCCAGGCTTTGGGAGCAGAATTGGCTTATATGCTGACTGTATGTATTGATTTGTCCCGCTACAATCATGGGGCTTAACCTAGGTGGGACTGTATGGGGCTTGAATAGCTTATTCACATCTTCTTCAGGTAGTGGGGGTTCGTCTTTAGCTGCCCTTGCAGCATTTTCTTGAGCCCGCTTGAGAAGCCAGCGGTGTTTATCTTGTTGTTGACGAACTACCAGCTGTTGGTAGCGGTTGAACTTAATGGCTTCTTGGTTTAGCTCGTCTACACGCTCCATCAGACTACGTAACTGACCTGAAAGTATTTTTAAAGTTGTTATATGAAAAAGAATGGATATTTTATTTTTGTTTTTTTTTACATAAGCCTGATCCAAATTACGAAAAAAGAACATTAACTACTGAAATTCTTTAAAATTTTTAATAATTATAATTAATTCATTCATTCAACACTAATTAACGTCCAAATGCTGGGTACAGGTCTCGCCTTAATTCGAGAGTTAGTAGTAACAGTTTCCACGAGTTTTCTCATAGAGAGAGTTTTCGAGAGACATGCAGGTTTCCTCACGATATTTCCCGCCATCATATGAGAAAATCATCATCAAATTGAAAGTGATTTGCACATAAAAGTTTTCAGAGGTGCGAGCGAGACCTGCTTTCCTGCATTTTGTTTTCCAAGGAAGCATGTTACCAATGGGCTAAAACAGCGTTTATTGCAAACTTTAATTTAATCCTTCAATTTTATGACACTGATAAGAAAATATCGTTTTAAATCTTTTTTATTAATAAAACAGTAAATACCAATTCCACAACTCTTACAGATAATAAAAAAGACACCACAGGTATCATATAAATATTATATAATAATAACATATTTATCTATAACATATTACAAACCTTCCAGCACCGAAGCAGTTCCAAGGTCCAGGAACTTTGAGCCCTCTTCCTCCGGGATCATCTCAGACAGTTCTGACATCATGATGTTAGTGAGAGGCGAGTTGCGTATAACTATAGGCACTTCAATGAATAAACTCTCATAGCCAATCTTTAAGTTGCGCAGGGCTTCTGGTGTGTAGTCTCTCTCTTTGTACATGGCTATTGCCTGGAAAATTATATTATTCATTTATTTATATTGTCTATTTCAAATAACATAACTTATGTTCACTTAATATATTTTCGGAGATTGAATAACTCAAAACTGTTTTGTTGTAAAAGTAGCTAGACTGCTGACCAGAGATGGAGAAAGTAGATGGCAAAGTAATATTTATTCACTTATTTCAAGTTAGTTAAGTATAAAATTCCTTTTAAGATGCTCCCATACAAAAGAGATCCTAAGTTATTGCATTGCAAATTAAATAAACATTCTCATTATTTTCATATGGTTCCAAAAACAGTAATAAAAGTTACCTGAGGAGTCAAACGGTATGCCTTCAAAGTCAAGAACCCTCTAGCAGACTTTTTAGTGTCGTAAATGACGACGACACTCTCTTCAATCGATGTCTGATAATGATATTGTGACTCCAGTAATGATATACTCAAGAAGTTGCCGACATCTGCACTTTGATACCTGTACCATAATTTTGTTTGAATAACTGTTATAACTATAATATTTTATAAAATGTTTTCTAGGCTTATATATACACTAGCGACTCACTCTTGCTTCGCTTGGGTTTGTCCCTCAGTTGATTCCTCATACAAACTTACATTCCCATTTTCACCCCTTAAGGGATGATTTCCGGGATTAAAACTATCCTATGTCCTTCCCAGGGTCTCAAACTATCTTCTTACCTAATTTCATCTATCGGTTCAGTAGCTTCGAAGCCTATTCGGTAGAAACACATAAACAAACAAAAAATCAAATCTTTCCTCTTTATAATATTAGTATCTAAGATAAAGTAAAATAAAGTCGCTGGCTGCCTCTGTTTCTCCTCTTACTTCATCTAAATCACGCAACAGATTATGATATGGATTTCACTAATGGATAGAATGATCGACAAAGATGGTTTCTATATACAATTTGTAAATATTGTACGAATTGGCTGAGCTTAGACGGTGTTTTGTCAAAGAAACTGTTTTCTTACGCTTACATGGCTAATCTTGACTAAACCTTAAAATATACATCAAACCAATGTAATAGAAAATTGTAATTTATATTAAAATTTGTTCAATTATTAAATTGTAAAAAGTCCATGATATCATGTGTCCGTCTCCTAAGATATTATTACAATAACTATTTTTGACAGTTAAAAATGTACCTAGCGATGCACCCATTAAAACCAGGGTAAGTCGCTACATATTAAAATATTGATTTTGGTTTTAAAGAGAATGAAATATTGGTCTTTATTACCACAATCATACACAATATACAGGGTCATTTTTAATTTACTGAGAACCTTTTGGGAATATACTATTTACAGCATAACAACATTATATATATATCTTATATATAAAATTTCCATGTCACAATGTTTGTTACCATACTTGTCCGAAACGGCTTTACCAATTTTTACCAAATTTTATATGCGTAATCAGTAGATCTGAGAATCGGCTACTATCTATTTTTCATACCCCTAAGTGATAAGGATAAGGGTGGTCCTCCCAGACCCCACCCCAGGGACGAACCCGAGCGGAGCGAGGGTGAGTCGCTAGTATATATATAAAATAATTAAACATTTAAAATATTAAATGTATGTTAAATTATATATAAAAGCAAAATACATTTTAGGTAAGACGTCTAGTATGGACTGTTCGCCACTGGTGTGTACTTATGTATGCACATAAGAAGTTATACTTCTTTGGTGTAACAGGACAATAATAGCTAAAGATTTTATCCCATATGTCACAACTATCTGTTTGTAAAAGGAATGTAGCTAACTTCGTTCAAAATCATTAGAATTTTACTCTCATATTTTTTTTCAAATGTGGCAAAAGAAGTATAAGTTCAATAATATTTCTAGTTTTCTTTAAATATAACTTTTTTATATTATTGAGTTTATTATAAATGGCTGCTAAACCTATTTTGTTTCAATAAAATTAATTACAATATCTACACTTCCATATAAACTTTAGATATATTATTTATTATTATTTACATACCCAAAAAATATGCAATAAAACTATAAATTTAAATAAAAATGTATTTACCATCCAACATGAAAGTGATCAACATTGACACGACGGAGTCTTCTCATCATATCCAATTGATACTCCTCTTCATCCATGGCTTCATCATGTTTGGGAAAAGGAAAGCAATTGGTGATTTCTAGACGGTTTTCCACAACCAGTCCAAGCAGAGCACCTTGCGCTACTTCCATATTACTGTAAGACTCCTCATGGCAGTGTTTTACTATTTTCATCACCGCCTGTAATATATTATAAGACTTGTGTGAATGTGCAAAAATTTTTTTTTATTAATTACTTACTTTAAAGAATTGTTTCTATAATATCCATATTTTACTATTGAATTTATAATTTCCAACAAAGGAATAATTCTATATAATATGTTAACATAGAATTAGAGGTTTAATTCAACTCAACAAAAAAAGTTTAAGTGTACAAGTAACAGTAAATTAAGTTCATTGCCACTAAATAAAAACACAAGTATAATAACATTCTATAGTAGAAAGTGATGTGAGCTTCCCAAAACAGTCTGGTGAGTCATAAAGTCACCGTAGTTCACAGGTAAATAAACGAAATTTGAAGACATTATAACCTATACACTATAATTTACAATCACATTTATATATAAACAAACTATTTAATTGGCTTTACTTTACAAAGCGATTACATGAGTAAGATTATAATCGCTTTTTTGACTAATTTGTCAGAAAATAAAATATTAAACGAAATAATTAAAGTAACATGACGTGTCAACAAAGTTGGTTGTAAGGAATTTAAAGAAAATAAGTAATGTTATTTATGCAGATACAAATAAATAGGTAATATACCAATCCATCGCACTGCACATATGTAATTGCAGCTTCATTTTCAGGAACGCGTCTAGGTGCTGCAGCGCGACTCGCCATTTTCCAATCCAAAAGGCGATTTGTCGATTTCAGGTTTGACAGCTTTCTTTTTTAGCGCATGTTTGCCACAGAATACAGATATCAATAATTCAAATTCTTTAATATCAAATGGTTAAGAATTTTTTGCCTTTTTCTCCTGCCAGATGTCGCGATCACTATAATCTTCAGTATATTGTAAACCTCTATAGCGTCAATGGATTTTTCATTTTATTCAAAATTTAATGGGGACCATTTCTCGAAAGGAGGCCACCACATGTATGGCCTATTTACATTCAGTTTGAGGTAAAGCAAATTATTGTGATATCTCTTTTATACCTGGTTTTTTGCTTTTATTATGTTCGCATCTAACCTGTGCAAGTATTGTGCCTGGAAGTAAGACCAGCTGAAAGAATAATTGAGAAGAAGAGATGTATACTGCGGTAGTCTTGACTCCTGACTAACTGATGGATCAACATACAGCCTAAACCGCTGGTGGTAGAAACGGGGAAGGACGTATTTTTTGTATGATGTAGGCAATCAATAAGAAAGGATTCATCACCTAAGTGGGTAAAATAGAAGATCAAAGATTGTATGAAAGTTGAAACTCTGTTATTCTTAATGTGAAATAGGTACTCAGGAAGTGGTGTTTAGCTTTAAAATAAAAATAAGAAATATATTTGATTTTTTGTGAATTTCATCCCTTAAGGCGGTATTTTTTATCGAATGCCTACATCATATAAGGAATACGTTCTCAGAATTTCACGTTTATACGACCAGTGGGTTAGAGTGTGTTGATCCATCAGTCAGTCAGGACCATCACAGGATGCATCTCTCCTTCACCATTCTTTCTTCAGCTGGCCTAACTTCCAGGTACAATACATTGCACATGTAAAATGCGAACACAATAGAAGCAAAAAAGCAGGTACAAAAAAATATCACAATAAATTGCTTAACCTCAGACTAAATTTAAATAGAACATACGCGTAGCGCCCTCCATTCAAGAAATCTTCCCATTTAATATTCAACATATAATAAAACATGTTACGCCTCGTTACCGCAAGAAAAATCACAAAATTATTACTTATAAATTCGTAATATGCATAAAGCCAGTCGTTAAGCGTTGCAAAGCGCTAGAAAGCGATATCTTGTTTACATAGGTGGTATAAATTTTTATTTGTCATCCATGGTTTACATTACATGAAGTCCCATAATAATGTCACTTGTCAATCCTTGCTCCTTCACAGTTCTCTTGCTTGTCAAATGTGAAATGAGAATGACAAATATTATCAGCTGTCAAATGTCATCCCACCAAAATCAAATAGAATCAATTGCTAAATAATTATCGTACTATAACTAATTCAAGAAATATTTAATATGTATGGCTTAATTATTATCTGAAAGTCTGAATATAATATCTAATGTTGTGTTGTCGTAATGGATAAGAGTGGGAAGTCAGCGCCTTAATTGGTTATAATGTTCCGCCTAGTTTTTAAAGAAAGAAAAAGAAAGTATTTTTAAAATGAGTCAGCACAAGTTCTGGAGAGGTATTACAGCATTAAACATACCCCCTTCGCAACAAGTACCTGATAAAATTGTAAAACTTTGTTCGTTGAGTGCTGATTTCATTGTTCTAGGAAATGACCATGGCCTCTATTACTGCACTTTTAAAGAAGATAACTTAAGCTTTAGAAAAATCACTGGTATTTCTGCTATTGACATATCATACCACAATGATATTCTTTATATAATTGATGTTCATGGGCGCCTCTATAAAACAAATACAAGTCTCAAAAACAAAGAAGAAATTGTTGTTAAAGAAGATGCTAAATGTTGCCCTCATGGATTTAAAAGTACTAGCTGTAAAGTAAAATTTCGAAATGTAGTCACAAGTGATTTTGGACAATTATTTATCAGCAGTGATGGCCATCTCTGGGGTTCAGGAGTCATGCCCCAAATTGCTTTAGATACTAATAACATTAAAAAGGTCCCATTTTTTGAAGGAAGGACAGTATACAGTGCGTCTGTAGGCCAAAATTTTGCTGCTGTGATAGCAAGGAAGAATGTTAGACAGTCAGGCAACTGTGATACTGATAGTGAAAATGATGATGAGGAAGTATTTGCTTCTAATTGCTCACAATGTCAAACTATTATAGGCCTAGCATCCCCAGCCTCAATACCTTCATTATCTGAAACTTGTCCCCTCGGAGTACATATAAGTAAATCTAGTGAAGATTCAAGTAGTACAACAGCACCACAGACTGATGTTCATGTTGATGCCCAAAGTTTTACAGAAGATTCTAGTCCCTCTTCAGAAGAATCTAAAGTTGCAAAATGTGAAGCTATACAATATGTCAATAATGAATTAGAAATAGATAATAGCAATGATGTTGAAAATAATGAAAATAGTGAAGTAGAGGGTTCTGAAATTCCCAATGAAAATACAGAAAAAATAAATAATATATTTATAAATACAGATGCCGCTAGACAATTTCTAAGTAGGCAACTGTCATGGGTATCAGCTGGAGAGGATTATTTAGTAGAGTGTACAGAAAAACCTACAAGAATAATAAAGGAAAATGTATCTAATCTTACCAATTTTGTGTATGAAGGTGTAAAAACAGTTGGTGATAAAGTGGCTACATTATCTAGACATGTGAGTGGTAGTAGCGAAAACAATGAAACAGTTGAACTTTTAAATCGAAATTTTAATGAAGAAGTAAATGACCTTATGTATAGTTGCATCTCAAGTAAATTTGAAGATCTTCAGTTTTCTACAAGTACAATTAGCAGTGAGAAAGAATTTGAAACAGCAAGAAAAAATGAAAACTTAAAAAATATGTCTAAACTTGGTAAGAACATATTAGCCACAGAATTGTGGACTTGGGGTGATATATCACATGGGCAACTAGGTATAGGAGATACAGTGAAAAGAATTAAACCAATGATAGTTATGAGTTTGTCCGGTTTTGGCTTGCAAAAGGTTTCCTGTGGAAAATGGCACTGTACAGCCCTAACTTTAGATGGTCGACTTTTTATGTGGGGATACAATCATTTTAATCAAGTCACCTTTGATTCTCGAGAAGATAAGAGCAGTCCAAAACAATTTACTGAAAATTCTGAAAGTGATCGCATTAGAGACATGATAGCTACAGATAACCATACTCTTACTTACACTCAAAATGAGAATATTTTCTACATGGGGAAGCATACAGATGGTTTTACAGAGAGTGTTGTCAATTTAAATAAAAAAACAGATGAAGAGGCCAACCAAAGCCATAACGATGAAACAATTATTAGTGACATTCAAAACTATGGCAATAAACCTGAAAATTTGTGCTATCATTGGAGGGTATTATCTTCAGGCAATATTAGTTATTGTTCCGTTGAGGAGTCTACAATTTGTCCAGAGTTCCAAAACTTGTCAATTGCTCAAAGATATCTAGAAGAATTGCTTCTTATATATCATTCACTAGTTAAGCCTTTTCTTAAGAAAAGTAAAGCAATAGTTTCACATTCCAATGTGTATGAAATGGTTTGTGATATTTTCGGTGACATTTTAAATGTTACCGCTTTGAACGTTCTATCGACTTGGCAATATGCTGAGAAGCATATAAATGAATGTGATATTTCTTTAATAAAAAATTTAGAAGAGTATATTTTTTTGTATAAAAAGTATTACATAGCTATAAGCAATTTGATTGTTATTGGTGGATTCTCTCACATAAACAACATTGTTGATGTTCCATCAAGTATATACAATTTATTTAGTGATCAATTACCTACTAATAAGCAAAAAAATAATAAGAAAACATTAGAAGCAGTAGTGGCGTTAGCTTTCGTGCAGCCCTTAACGCGATTGAGCTCATACAAATGTATATCACAGTCACTTCTGCGACATAGAATGAAAAGAAAAAAGACTGATTCCAGATCAAATGTTGAAGAAAAAATTGGTAAAGTCATATCATCTCTAGATACATTAATTGAGGAGCAAGAGAAGAAAAGAAAAGAAGCTGATGTTACAAAGTTATTTTGGGAAACTATAGGAAAAAGTTTGGATCAGTATAGAACACCAGAAAGACGGTTAATAAGAGAATCTAAATCTCGTCCCTTGAATTTAATAAATCCCGGTAGATTTAGTAGCCATTGGTTTGTACTTTTCAATGACTTATTCGTCCACATAAGTGGTAATACACCAAGCGTCCATCCATTACAGACTTTATGGGTTGAGACCGTCCCTAACACTGACTCTGTACAAAATGCTATACATCTTACAACTCCAGAGGAGATAATATGTGTAACAACTACTTCAGAGGAAGAGAAAACTGAATGGATACACTGTTTAAATTCTTCAATTCGAACAGTTTTGAACAAAGAATCGTCGTTTAAACCTCCAGCCGTACGAACTGCTAGTTACACGTTTTCAAATAAAAATTCATTCTACAAAGAAGCCACATACACCGGAAGATGGTTAGATGGTAAAATTCATGGAAATGGTAAAATTGAGTGGCCAGAAGGAAAGTTTTACGTTGGGCAATTTCAACTAAACACTTTGTGTGGTCATGGTAAAATGGAAATTCCTGGTATAGGCAAGTCATATCTTATGCTCCTATTAATTTTTTGTTTTTTAATTTTTACTTCATTCTGACCAAATTCTGAAACTTAAATTAATTAATAACATGAATTAAATTCGTTTGATTATTATTATTTTCAGGATTATACGAAGGCCAATGGAAAGACAATCTGCAAAACGGTTACGGTGTTATGAAATATACTTCAGGAGATATTTACGAGGGTTATTTCAAAGATGGTCATCCACATGGCCATGGTATAAAAAAACAAGGGGATTTTACTTCTTCGACAGCGACTATATACACTGGAGAGTGGGTCTCAGGTGTCAAACAAGGTTACGGGGTCATGGATGATATTGGAAAAGGTGAAAAATATCTCGGGAACTGGTCAGATAACAAAAAACATGGCTGCGGTCTAATCGTAACCTTAGATGGCATTTACTATGAAGGATTGTTTACACAAGATGTTTTAACAGTAGGTACAAATTGAATGAAATAATTAAAAATGATAATAAATATTTATAATCATTATAATAATATACAATATTTATTTTTTCTATTCAAAACAAATTAGAAAATTTTGGCTTTTTAATTTTTTCGTATCGTACAATTTTAGGGTCACGGTGTTATGGTATTTGAAGATGGAACGCATTATGAAGGTGAATTTAGATCAGCAGGTGTATTTTCTGGGAAAGGCGTTCTCACATTTTCAAGCGGTGACCGAGTTGAGGGTTCCTTAAACGGTGCTTGGACTGAAGGCGTGAAAATATCTAATGGAGTGATGCACCTCAATGTATCTAATCCAGCACCGCCAGCTAATTCGAAGCCTAAGTAAGTATTTCTGCTTTTTTTTGTTGAAATATATAATTATGATTTTTAAATGAAATACTACTATAATTGGTTTCTATAAATTGTTTCTGCTTGAATACAACTTGTGAAACCTTTTTCATATGTTACGAATAAAATTTATTATAATTAATTAATATTTATATTCATAATATAATTAATTAAAAACTTCTAAAAATCATAAGTATTCTCTTAAAATGCAAGAATCAACGCCATTTTTTACTACATATACTGACAGTTTTCATCTCATTTGTACTCATCATTTTCAGCTCATTTGGAAAGCTAAGTGTCGCCCCAAACAATAAGTGGAATGCAATATTTCGACAATGTTTCCAAAGCATGGGTGTTTCTGAAACCGTCCTCACTCCGAATGGCAATCATTTTGTAAACGGTACATCTAATATAGAAAACGTAAAAATATGGCAAAATGTTGCAGTTGCTATATCTTGTTCTCATAAAGAGAAACATACGAAACTCAGTGTTAAAAAATCCAATGCTTTGGAGTTAGAGAAATCAGTGGATTGCTTAGAGGTTATACCCAAATTTGGTCAAAATACGCTTACTTTAAATGATTATACGGAATTAAAACAGTATTTATATAATGTAAGTATATAATTTTATTTCATAAACATTATTAGTTGAGTGTAAAAGGAATAGAGCGGACACTTGTGTCTGTTCGCATAATCGTATCTCATGTGCTTATACTGATATTGGTATCTGAAGTCAATTCGGCCTCGGAAGGAATATCGGATGGAAAAATGGCTTGAATTATAATTATAAAAAAAAAGCCAGATTGAAAAACTACGCACTAAAATCCAACAACCAGTACTACCCACTAAAATCCAACAACCTCCCCCGTTTTAATGGGATCGCAGGATCGCTTACGCACTTGACCACAACGCGACGCCCCGCTTGGCTTTACGCCCGGCTGGATTGCCGGACTATAATGAACTCCCCCACATACCACGACAAAGTGAACATCTCGAAAATTGCTAGACCGATTTTTATGATCTTTGTTTTGTTGGATATATCTTCATTCCGAATAGCAAAATAACAATTAAAACATCGGAAAAATTCACAAAAAAAAAATAGGAATAAAAATCTATTCCATACTAAACGTCAAAACTCAAAACGTACCTAGGGACGAATGAGTCGCTAGTATAGTAATAAAACAGTGTATCTTATTATTACCGTATATATTATGTAAATATTTATTTATTAATATTTTATTAGGCATGTGAATCCACACATCACCCTCTCGGACAATTGGTTCTCAGTCTCACGAACGCATTTAACACGACGTACGGCGGGGTCAGGGTCCATCCCTTACTACTGAGCCATGCTGTGAAGGAACTGAAGAGTATTACATCCAGATTGTACCAAGTTGTAAGGCTTTTGTTTCCCGCCTTGCCCACAGAAGGTACGGATGTAGTGCTGTCGCTTAATAGTAAAGAAGACGGTGATGATGTCGAAGATAGCAATCCTATTGATGGGTAAGTAGAGATAGGTCTTTTAGAGGTTTTTTTAAAGCATTTTTCGGTTTTAAAATTCAATGATTTTAGAAATGAGCTCTTATTTTAATAAATCCGCTACTCGCTATAGAGAAAATATCGATAACATGGTTAAAATTACCAAATTAAAATGTTAATAAATTCTGACTTACTTTCTTCCCTTACATGACATTTACCAGTATTGAACTTTCGAGGGATTAGAGGGCTGGTTAGGGACCGTTAAAAGGCAGTTGTAAATAAATCTATCGTTTTGGATTTTTTACTGGAATTATTTTTATTTCTCAACGATGAAAACAAAAATAAGCCGTATGACTGTACGGATTAGACTGTGTTAATATCGGTGCATGGCAGTGAGGTGGTGTCGGCGGCGTCGCTGCTGCAGCCGGCGCTGCTGCCGCGCGCGCACCCCGCGCTCTTCGTGCTGTACGCGCTGCACAACAAGCGCGAGGACGACCTCTACTGGCGGCGCCTGCTCAAGTGGAACAAGCAGCCGGACATCACGCTCATGGCCTTCTTGGGGATTGATCAGTGAGTTGATGAATTATGATGTTGTCCTACTATTCCGTCGTGGAACTTAGGGCTGCAGCAGTAGTTTTCCATGCCCTTCCGTCTTTAGCTACTGCTTGCACATGGTTCCAAGAGATTCCCACCCTTCTAAGATCCGCCGCAATTAAGTACCGACCTCAGTAAACTACCAACTACTACTCAATAAACTGCCAACTAACACCTGGAGGAGGTCCATTAAGGTGGACCTTGATGAATTATAGGCTCTTGGTATTGCTGGATGATGAATAATATTTTGAATTACAAATGGACCCTAATCGTTTCGTAATGTTCATTGTTCTCCATTTATTAACTATAAGTTTAATTGGATTTGCCATCGACAAATATTGAAATAAACAGAAGCTTCGATAAGCTAGGCAGAAACGTCAATTTTTATATTTCTAAATTTAAATATAATGGACTTCCATACAAAAATTCATCTCCCTATTTCACTATGGGGATGAAGATTCGTCAATCTTCATCTTACTATTGCCTTAGTGCTTACTATTGTTATGTATGAAACTCTTCTTCTGTTCCAGTAAAGTAGAAAGTGAGTGAATTTAAGTATTTTATTTTGTTCCTCTTTCAGAAAATTTTGGTCAACTCCTAGTATAAACCCTCAAACATCACCAACATTTTCTCCAAAAAAAGAGCAATTATTCAACGAGTCAGTGGAAACCCTGCAACAACTGAAGACCACCTTTTCTCCCATTGAGAAATTACTTGTTATAAGGAGCACATTCCAGAAAATGACGACCGCAGTACAGCTGGAGTTAGGTGAGAATCTTAGTTGCCTAAAACTTTATTTGTTATGGAATCTTATTTTTATGGTCGTTTTTTTGATCTATGTATAAAATAGTACGAGAGTTTAAAAAAACTGCAGTTAAGTTGAAATATAAACAAAGCATGATACGATACATATTTATGAGTTACAATTGCGCGCGGCTAGCATGTACGGCTAGTGTTCTGGAGGTCCTGGGTTCGAGTCCCGGGTATGCCCAAGTTTAGTTATTGAGTCTTTCTGTTTCGTAAGTCTCAGTAACGGCCCGGAGTTGGGAAGTTGGCGGTGTTTCACCCCCGTGCCTCGGCGAGTCGTTGGTACTGCGCCTGATCTCTCACAGGTCGTGTCGAATTGTCGTCCCACTGAGTAGTATCAGATTAATAGTAATAGAGAGTGCATGTTGTGTCTGCGCGAACACGCGCCGCACTATAATATTTACTAATCGGCGGCTAATCTCAGTGAGATTGTTTAGAAGTTGAAATTTGTCAGGAGGATATAATTATCATGAGCTACACGTGTATGTACATACATATAATAAAACAATCTAAATTCAATTAGACTTTTATAAGAAACGAGTATTAATACATACTCATGGTTAGTATTTCGTGATTGTAATTTTATTAAATTGAATTCATTTAAAAAAAAATGTTAATATATAGATAGTGCACGTTATTATACACCATAAGAATGATATGTATATAGTAAAAATATATGTAAAACATAAAGATGCATAGCAGGCTATTCTAATATTCGATCTCATCTATTATAATATATTTAATCATTTCTCCATAAACATGTAGGTACTCCTTGAATGACTCCTTGAATTTTATTCAATTTTTGTCCGCGCCGCTAGTATAGCAGTGATTTTTAATCAAAATCACACTGAAATCCTTAAAGACTCTCGCGAACCTTCGCAATATTTGAAAATTTAGCATTGAATGGATTATATGTGTACATTTAATATCCAGGGCAACATTACCTGTGGAGTATGGACGAACTGTTCCCAGTGTTCCACTTCGTAGTTGTCAGAGCTCGTATATTACAACTCGGCTCTGAAATACATTTCGTAGAAGACTTCCTAGAGCCCGGGATGCAGCACGGCGAGTTGGGTCTTATGTTCACTACATTAAAGGTAAATTCAAACTTATTGTTATTGTTTTAAGGTCGATTTTTAATAGTTTGATGAATTATTATATTCTCTTTTTAATTTTAAACTTTCAATGAGTGTTTATTTTATTTATCCTTTTACTTATAATAATGGTGAATATATATTTTTTAAATAACTTTAATTTATTGCAGGCCTGTTATTTTCAAATTCTTCAAGAGAAGATGTCCATCAATTCGTAATATACTAATATAATTATATCATTATAATAATGATCTCGCAATAATTGTTAGGTGCGCTTATAAAATTTTGCTAGTTGACGCTGTGTTCGTGGTTTAGGTCGACGCAGATGCATGGCTTCCGATACGATTTCCGAATTCGATTCCCAAATTTCCAAAAGATTTTTTTAATGGCGCGTTAGTTTCGGAAGTGTATAACGTATTCGGAAAATGAGTAACTGACACCATTAAGCGATAATTCCAAGTCAGATTTTCTATAAAAAATATTTATCTATACTAATATTATAAAGAGGTAAAGTTTGTGAGGTTGTAGGGAGTAATCTATAGATCTACTGAACCGAGTTAGATGAAATTTAGTAAGAAAATAGTTTGAGACCCTGGGAAGGACATAGTATACTTTTTATCCCGGAAATCATCCCTTAAGGGGTTGAAAATAGGGATGAAAGTTTGTATTGGGTAAGCACAGAAAACCTAACTAGCTCAAATTAAATGTAAAATTTAATTTTTAGTCCCTTTGAAGTCAATAAATAGTCAATTGAGTTGGTAAATAAAGACGTCTATAGCTCTATCCATACAAAATGTACGGCGGACGTGCGTTTTGACAGCTCATAAAAATATGTCGATTGGTGTCAACTACTCACACATGCTTGTGCCAGCCCTAGACGTTAGGTTAAAATTTGAGATTCCATTTTTAAAATAAATATTTAAATGTATGAAACATAAAAGTTATTATTGTTATTGAATTTATAGATAATATATGCCCCCATAGATTATAAGTGCTTATATGAACACCATAAAAAACTTTATCATATAAAGTGTATTCAAAATACAGTAAATTTAATGATTTACTTTAAGTGTAACATTATTTTTTAAGGCTTCATAAGTATATTTTGTTTTGTAATGTAGCCATTAAATAGTGGATATTTTTTCATTTTATGCAAATTAATTTTATACGTAAATATGTGCCAAAGATATAAACTTTTTTTTTAAATATTGGTTTGATTGATTATTTTTTGAGTTGTTCTAAATTGAGCTAATTTTTTTTAGGTTATTAAAAATTGAGCTAAAAAAATTATATTTTTTCTAAACCAAGCCAAGACGACAATCGTACCTTCATATGCAGAACAGCAATAATGCTCAAATTAATCATTACTCCATGATTCCTTTTTAATGGCAGTTTTAATTAGTATTATACAAGTTGATATGTTATCAATTTGCTTATTCTTTATAAATTATTTATTTTTAAATAAGCACGTGTTTAAAATATTTTTTAATACCAAGCTGGTAATATAATAAATAAAATTTATTTTTTTATGTAGAATGTATTTATTATTTTTTGGGGCTTTAATTATTTTAAGTTTTATCCTCTTGCCATGCATGTATATTTTAAATTGTTTAACATTGCTTGAAAATGTTTAAATATATGGTCCGTGTATTCGATTTTTATTCACATTTGTGTGTGGAAATAATAAAACTTTATTGTTTATTTATAAAAAAAAATATTTAATTTTACTACCTGATTACTTTATATAAAATAAATAATATATTTTTTTACTATTTTATTTCCTTTTAGATTTAGTAAGTAAAACATAATAGCAAACCCAAAGCATGAGTACAAAATACACTTAATAAAATATGTAAATTTTAAAAATGTTTGTTTTCTAGTGATTTTTTTTTGTTGAAATATTTGTTTTTCTAAATATATAATATGTAATATATTTCAAATCTATATAAAACTGACAAATGGCTTTTTTGGTAAAGTGTAACTTAAACTCTCAGCAATATGTATTCTCATACATAGCAGAGGTCAACATTTAATGGTTTTAGCTTACTACTTGTACAATCGCGGGCAAAAATTATATTATAGATAATAAATATCTAATGTTTTGTTAAATAAAATTGTTATTACAATAAGTACGTTAACCATATCATAAGAGTGAAATTGAAGGAACATATTTATATCTCATGCTATTGTATTGTAGTGTTTAAATTTAAAAAGAATATTTATTGAATTTCAATAAACGTTTAGATAAAATATTTGATTTTTTAATAAATGTATCTCCTTCTATCCTTTTAATACGAACGTGGTTTTTGATAGCTGTAATATATTGAAAAATTATAAGAAAACTTACTTTCCCTCCTATGCTTACGTAAACATTACGTCTCAATCATAGAATATCTCAATATGTATGCTTTTCACTTTTGAGCATAGACAAGTAGGGTTGCCACGTTTTAAAAACAGTCATCAAAATCTACATTTTAATAAATAAATAAATCTTGCTGGCGTAACGACCCGCCAGAACCACTAGCCCAACTCCCCCCCCCCCCCCATCCCTCCCCACGTCATCAAAAATAAGCAATGCCTCTTCTCCAAAGTACTTCGTTTTTTGACGCATAATTTAATCTTAAATATAATTATTGCACTCTCAGTTAAATCGCCTAGTAATGGATTTCGAAAATAATACACTAATAGTTTATTAAGGCTATTTATTTCATTCCTATAAAATAACATACCAAATGTCTCTTTTGTACAACATCATATCAAAAATGTACACCATTATATAAATTTCGTGTCGGGTAAATGTTACCCACTGAATCCTATTTCCTTGCTATTACACATAAATATTATAATAATCGCCCTCTTACTGTCTAATCTCTGATAGGTAAAAAATCATTATTATAAAGGCATTGTCGTGTCACTTTAAATTTAAGAAATGAATTAAATATGTGTGGATATATTTTTTTAAATTACTATAATAAAACAAATATAATGTCTTAAAAAATTTAATTTACCAAAAAAATCATTCGATTTATAAAATAACATTTAAGTAACACGTGAAAAAGGCTATAATAAATAATATTAAAAAAATATATAAGTAATATGACATAAAAAGAAATTATACTCTATGCTTTATAATAAAAAAAAAGTAATTTAAAATTACACGACAATTCCAACACACTGTACAATATATCTACAATATGCCAACACCTATTTATTGTATTTAATTCATTGTTAATTAATAGTACATGTAACACATACAACTAATACACAAAAAAAATAACTGTTCACAATAATTTTTCAAACATATTGCACTTTTCTACAGAACGGGATAATATTGTCATACGTCAAGCATCGGATTTGAATATTTATTTAAAAAAAACTCTGAATTAATATTATTTAAAATTTAGTATTATCAAGTACTATACATGTCAGGCAATAGCATTGTACATACAGAAAGTATAACTAATAAATATATATATTATTAGAAGCTCTTTTATATAATAAAGGAAGTATAAAAATCTATATAGCTAAAATCTATTTTAAGAGTTTTAAAATTTCTGTATGTAACTTTTATTGCTGACGGTACAACCATAGATAGGATTAAAACGGGTCTATAAGGCAGTGACATTGGTGGGAAGCTATTATAAAATATAGTCAGGGCATAACCGTAAGAGTTCGAAACACTACAACAAATATTTCACATTTCTTAGAAAAAAAACCCACAAAATTATAAAAAAAAAGAGATTTTGTTCTTTGAAAAATTAAATGATAACGTTCTCTTAAATTAATGCCCTGGCTATGATATGAAAAACTCGTCATTCCCCAAACAATTTCTAACCTAGCGGCAAGAAATCTTTGAAGAAATAATTTTGTAGCGGTGTGTAGATGCTTGGTAAATTGATATGGTCTAAGCAAAAAACTTACATTAAATATAATGATTTGTTTTTTAGCCACTGCATACTATTACTGATTTGTACTTCGTTTACAAGCAAACTAACCTGATCGAACAGAACTCGACAATTTTAGCAAAAAAAAAAAAAAAAAAGAAATATTGCCAATATAAAAAAAAAACATTTTTATTTATTAATAACAAGTTAAAACTTACGTATAAAATAAATTATGAAATAGACAAAAGCATATATCGGACAATGATTACGCGTAGTAACTATTCCCTTGTACCTAATAATGGATTAAATGGCGTTTTTTTTCTCACACTAAATATGGCTACCATTGCGATTGGTTTCTCAAAGCACCGGGACATAAAAATCGAGTTCCGCACAGCTTTATAGAAGTTAGCTAAAATCCAAACAAACGTTATTGCGTTAATCACTATTTCATACAACTTACGCTAATATTAAATTACAATATTTAAAAAAAAATCGCAAACTATATGTGTAACAATGAATTCTCACCGAATAATGTAGAAAACATAAATTTTATATTACAATACGATTATATTAGGAGAATATCAATTGAATTTTATTGCATGCATTAGTTTTTATTACAAAAATTAACAATAATTAAATTCCTAAACAACATGGACGATTTTAAGTGTCGATCAATATGATAGAATACAACGGATTGCACACATTATTTGAAAATTATTTGAAAAGAGTGTTAATGAATGATATGAATGCATGCTAACATGTATAACGCTATAAAATACTTTCTATATATAAAGATGTAAAATAAATTTTCACAATCCGTTGCATAATAATAATAATACATTTCACGGGTAATATATTATGTTCAAAAAAATCTTCCATTCAATTGAACAACATAAATCTTAAAACTATAGAAATCAACGTATATATTACTATAACATACTACATCTATGTTAATTCTTAGGAAATAAATGCTCTACAGTGGTCTATGGGACGATGGTTCACACAAAACAATATGGACTACATATACACACTTGCGTCGTTGTTCTTATGAAACTTTAAAAACTACACACTCATTTTGTTCAACATATTATTATTAAAAATGTCAATTTAATGATTAAAGTATGGAGGGTAGAGATAAAGAAATATCTTGTATGGGAGATAAGTTGAAAAAGTATCCACTTGTAAGCGGTAAATATCAGTTCAAAAACACACCAGAATGGCGCTAGCGTAGCAAGAAGGTATGATATGAATTTAGTTTGTGCTAAGTTGAATCTATACTAATATTATAAAGAGTTAGGTTTGTGAGCTTGTGAGGTTGTAGGGATCCCTGAATCTACAGAACCGATTGGTAAGAAGATAGTTTGAGACCCTGGGAAGGACATAGGATACTTTTTATCCCGGAAATCATCCCTTGGGTGAAAATAGGGATGAAAGATTGGATTGCGAAGCAAGCTAGGGATGAACCCGAGCGAAGCTATGGTGAGTCTCTAGTTATTTAATATTTTGGATGACTTGAATGATTATTAAACTATTTACGTAGTCCAAAAAATTTTTGTAAATATAACCGAAAAACCTAGTAATATAAAGTATGTAATGATTTATTTTTTGTGAACTTTTAGTAATACTTTTGACGTTTTCTTCAAATGTACCCACACTTGCTACCGTGGCGCCATACTAATTTAACGCTTTTCGACGGACACTACAAAAATTTTACCCTCCAAAAATTAAAGTTGCTCGAAATTATACTTTCAAATTACACCGTAATATCTCTTTAATCTCTATAATCACGATTCTCATTCATATAATAAAATTAGCCTTTCGTTACCTTTATATTTATTATAACATTAACTTGTCCAATATCTTTACGAACATAAAACATAGCAGAAGTACATTTTTATATATTCCTTCGATAAAATAAAAAAATCATATACCAAACTCATCATTATAACTCGGCCAAGTGTGAATGTAGCTATATCCATACACTGTACATAAAACAATATGCTATTTGATACAACACGATATGAACGGGACGGCTGATTCTTTAATCAAACATTAATTGGCTAAAATGAATATCACGTGATCACTGACTAATGGCTTCCAGAGGTCTATGACCTTTTGACATATTAATTAATACACACAAACCGTACAAAAAAAGAATGGGATCAAAAATGGCTACTAATTGAGCCAGTCCTATAATCATATTATAATGATACAACATTCATTAGAAACATTACGTTCTCTATATAAAAAAAAACTATGGTAGCTTTAGGTAAAAAGCACTACAGAAGGTATATTTTACATATTTTTTTAAATGTAATAACAATTTTTAATTTCAGCTCATTTAATGAAATAAAACAGTAAAATATAATGATTTTTTTTTGCTATCTCTACTAGATTGAAACGCCATTTATAATCCCATTCTATATCAGCACAAGTATATAGAAGTGCTTATTTATATATACTTTAAATTACTCTCGAGTAGAATGTTCAAGACAGTTTCATATAAAGAAATCCTAATCGTGGAAATATTGACAGTTGATTAGAAGGTAACAAGTTTGATTCCAGTATTCAAAAACGTGAAATTCGATATCAGAGCACGAATAAAAGTTACCTAGCGATAGTATATAACTCTAGTCATAATATAACAATATACATACCGATGCACTAAATAACAAATAAGTAGTGTTTAAAAAAAATTACATTCAAATCATAATTTATCAATTATCATAAAGATAGAAATTATAGTTAAATATAATATATCCTTTTAACCGCCATTTAATATAAAGTTTGATAAAGAAATAAAATCGAGTTTTGCTAAGCAAAAAATGATAAAACAATAAATAGACGGCACTCGGCAGGGATTCACTATCTCTTTAAACTATCACTGCCCGCCATTATTCGAACCAGAATGTGCGTTTTTTTGCAGTACAAATTTCGTGTTGCTTATTCAACTAATACTGAAAGCACCATTACATTTCACCCTAATTAATCCAATCTTATAATATTGTGTAAAATTTTGAATTTAGACGCTCCCATTCATGAACTACACACAAGACTGTTGAAAGACAATTCGAAGGACAAAAAGATAAGGAAAAAAAAGAATAAATAGTTTATGATATAAATGAAAAAAAAAACAATACCATAAATAGTTTGGACGATGAACAAAAAGAAAATTTAAGGAGAGCTAACAAAAACTCTCTACAGATATATGGGTAGTTGACATCACCAATCATTTGACATATTTTATTAGCTGTCCAAACATTATTTCCCATCTGTACTATTATAAAGAAACAGAGTTTGTCTGTAAGCGCTAATCCCAGGAACTACTAATCAGATTTGAAAAATTCTTTTTGCATTAGACAGCCCGTTCATTGAGAAAGGCTTATAGGTTATATATATCTTAATAACTTAGAGACGAACCCGAGCGCAGCAATGATCTAGTACTTTTAATATGGCAATATCAACTTGTGACGACACTTATCTGCCTATTCACTGACTGATTTAAAAACAAAAAATCCCATTTTACAGTTAATTAATAATAATAAATCCCGATTTATTTTCAAGAGCTAAATTTGAAGTGTTTTTAGAGAACTCGTGTCTTGAAATTATCGATTAATGGCGTCAATTACCCAATTCAAATATTTCAAATTTAGTATGAACAATAACTTTAATAAACAGTCTCGTGTACAAATCCACCAATTCATATTATGTAAAAAATATATTTATAACATACATATTTATTCAATATTTGTGTATAATGGTATGTCTACAAAACTAGGTAATACTGAGAGATTAAAACCATATCTTGTGCTGAGAATACTGTATCACGAAAACGTGAACGCAAAACGCGAAATATATAAAAAATATTCAATTTGGTATTATCGGGGTTTCAAATCCATTATTTACTGTGTGATATATTAAAATTTATGAATTCAATTTAATTTTATGCTTGGTCATAGGACTCGGATCAAACATGGCGGCTCTGTTTGCATCTTGCTTGCACATTTACCGTCTCTATTTAACTTCTCTTATAACTATCTAACTATGTAATCTATTATAATATAAAAAAATGATCGAGCATTTTATTCACTATGACAACTGAGATGTAATACAGCTAAGTCAAAAAGCAGTGTTTTATAAGACTGTAATTAATTATTATAGTATACATGCATATGGATATGAACAAAATAATACTTTATAAATTGTTTTAAGCGAGAAATATTTAAGTACTTTTAACTGTTAGAGACAGTCTCTGCTCTAAGCCGCCATGTTCCATCTATCTTTTACTTGAGATAAAAAATATATAAGATACATATTATACATAATTCAATATTCAAATAATCTTAAAAACTCATATGTCACTGAATCGATTGACTCTTTATTGTCAACGACTTGGTATATTCATATTAATATATTCCAAATAAAGAGTACATATAGTACTGTAAGCATACATTACGGTAATGTAAAATCACATTAATGCTTATGTGCAAATACTTTAATATAAAGCTGGTGTCACACTAAAATAATATAAAAATTCATTGTAATTCTTAAAATTAGCAGCTTATCGCTTTGTCAAGTAAATATTTATATTAGCCATGTGATATGATAAAAATCAAATTAAAAAAAGAATCTGTTCAGTAACTATCGAGTTACAATATACATAGAATTCATTTAAAAATACCGTGTATCTACACATTATAATAAATATTATAAACTTTGTATAAATAGTTATTAAGCATTTTTAAAGGAAAAACTTGTCAAAAATATTTACATAGATGTAAAAAGTAGTGTAACACTAGCTTCATACGTGTACACACATCTAAGTGCTTTATGCCGCTATAATAATATGTACACGACGTCGATCGAATAATATGTACTGAGATAAAAAATGTTTATGATAAAAATATATATACATTATACATTATCAAGGCTGGCATCACTTATCGGTAAATTACAGCCGAATTGCGAAATTCGTAATTACATTAACTGTATAGTTTAAGCGGACCGACTCAAACAATTCCCGTAAATGGCAACACCTGACTTACTCATATTTGATCCCAAGCACGATATAAAAAAGACGAAATCGATTTTACACAATACGATTACGATCGACTGATACGAATCGTTCTCCCATTCGAGTCGTCCACTGGAAACGAATCGATAAGCAATAATCGATTAAAATTGACAGGTACGATACGCAATCAATCGCAATCGTAAACCAGCATATTATATATAGACTTATATATATAATAAGTTAAAAGAATTATACAAACACATCGCTGGGAAGCTTTATATAGCGGATTAAGGGGTAGTTCACACGGACCACTTACGCACTAGATACCTAAACCGTATAATAGGTACAAATAACGTCCTTATCAACCACAAGGCAAAATTGGCACTTAAGACGAAGTTCGCTCCTTTCTTTATGAGTGTCTCGAGGAGGGTTAGCGAGGGGGTCGCGTGGACCACGCGGGTGTCCGGCAACACGAGGACGACGGGGTCGCAGTGACCGAGCGGGTCGTGCGTGGGCACGCGCGTGTACCGCCGGCCGCCGGCGCCGGGCGTCGCCGGGACCCCGCCGGTGTCCGGCAACACTAGCACGTCGGGGTCGAAGGGACCGAGCGGGTCGTGCGTGGGCACGCGCGTGTACCGCCGGCCGCCGGCGCCGGGCGTCGCCGGGACCCCGCCGGTGTCCGGCAACACTAGCACGTCGGGGTCGAAGGGACCGAGCGGGTCGTGCGTGGGGACGCGCGTGTATCGCCAGCCGCCGGCGCCGGGGGTCGCCGGGACCCCTCGGGGGTCGGGTGGTCGCTATGTGGGCGGCGGGTTCTGTGTTGGGTTGTAGGGATGGTTGGAGTTGCGCAACACTGTGTACACACTGTCCACCTTGCTTAATTTCTCGAAAAACGGTATCAAGTCCAATAGTTCTGAATCTGTCATGTCGTCGAACCATGACGCGACAGGTACCTGCGGATGTGAGGAAACGTATTAATTATAAATATTCTTATTGATTTATATCATCACTAGTTACTTTCGATTGGGGCCCAGAAATACATATAAATATTTTTATCGATTTACCTACCATCACTAGTTACTTTATATCGGGGCCCATAAATACACTAAACCCAAGCACAAACAGTCAGACAAAAATGGTTCATAGCAAATGTCTCTAACATTTGGAATTCGCAGATGAAGAGATTAATTGCGGTAAAAACTAGAACAACAACACTTTGACACGTTCTCTCTTATGAGTTACGCGTAGATAATAAAGTTGATTAAAACTAATGTAAATGTCGCTTTAAGTGATACAGAAATACTCTGATTAAACCTATATTAAAATATTAAAACTTTTAATATGTTTATTTTCAATGGACATACAAAATTGAAAAACTGTGTAAAATGAGTTATGTACAAAATGAGAATTCGCTCAGCAGATTCCAATAACTCGACAAAAAATTAAAATACAGACATTATAAGCAAAAATCTATATAAAATGATTTAAAATATCATAACTAAACTTAAATCTCCAAATTTCTAATGACGATCTGCGTAAGCCCCTTGATGTTTATATGAGACGACACCGGAAGATACCTTGGTATGAAAATCACTTCATAATTGGTGAAAATATCGCGTAACATACACACAGAAATCAACAGCCTTTTTTGAAGTTGGTCAAAAAGTCCGTATACTTGGGACTGAGTTGATAGCTATACACAGCAGTAATATTAATAGTGACCTGATCGATGTCGGCCACAGCGGCCAGTCTCACTGAGATTAGCCAACTGCAGGAGATATAGTGCAAAAGTATGCACAGAAATACAATCAGCTTCTCCCTATTCCATTCAATCTTACGTCCAATGGGAAGATACTTCGACACGACCCGTGAGAGATCAGACACCTACTTTACGTGCTGTCTCGGCACGGGAATGAAACACCGCCAACTCCGAGCTGTTATTGGGAATGTCTTAACAGAAAACCCGTTACTAACCTTTCACCAAAAGTTATCTGTAAGAGATTGCTGATAACAAGACCGCCTTTGCATGCCGTTTTCTTATCTCTTTACACCTTCTGTACTCTCCTTTTGTGTGTGCAATTAAGTATTTATCTATCAAGTCCAGCCTGGGACTCGAACTTAAGACCTGCGGACGTACTAGTCCTAGCCACTAGACCGATCGAGACACTAAAACAAAGCAGTAAGCCATACTCACAGCATTATCCGGGTGGAATATGTATGAGGCGGGCGAGTTGTCCACTATGACGACACGGCGCAGGTCGCGGCCGAGACTGTTCAGGTCCTTTACGTAGTTGCCGCGGTGGAACACGCAACTGTCGCGGAAAAGCCGCGCTCTGAATACGCCCCATCTGTTATCATTGTAAAGTATTAGAATTTAACACTTAACGTACCACTGCATATAGGGTATGTATGTATGTCTGTCTCCTTGAAAACGAAAGGGTTAAATAAAGGATTAAAATTAATAAATATTGTAAGGTACTTTGGTGCCATTATAGTATTTTTTTTAAAACGATATAATTATAAATGAAAAAAATATATAAAGTTTGAAATATCTAAAACCTTATTCTCTCCCGTGACCATGATTGTTGTTATGCATTCGAAACGCCAGGAACCAAAAATCAAAATAAATCCGCGAAAAAAATTTGAAAATATAGTTTTATTTAAAATATTCACTCTCTATTTTGTTAACTCTCAGATACCATGATACCGGTGGTATGACAACTCGACACGTCCGGTGAGAGATATGGCGCAGGACTGACAGTTTAACGTGCTCTTCGAGACACGGGAGTGTAATCACCGACAACTTACCAACTGTAAGGTTGCTACTGAGTATTTCATGACAGAAAAACTCAGTAACTACCTAGGCCCGGGCGTCGAACCCAGACCTCTCGATCTGCAGGCGTACATGCTAGCTACTAGACCAGGATTAAGATCATAGTCAAATGCGGGTCTATAAATAATACTTTACGTAAGCCAGTCGATGTAATGGTCTAAAAAATAATATTAAACATGGTTTCATTTACAATAATATTGTAAGTGGTGGTAAGGAAAGATATAGATATAAATCTATACATATAATAAAATTCTAACAGAGTCGAATCTGTACATTAAATATTTTTTGGAAAATCTTATTGAAATAGTCATTATTATCGATACAGAGTCCAAATCTATAGTTATTAAAATTTTTGTCTCTCTGTCTGTCTGTCTGTTACCGCATCACGGAAAAACGACTGGAGGGATTTTGATGAAATTTGGTATGATGATAGCTGGTTATCCGGGTCAACATATAGGTTACTTTTTACCGCGAGAAAATATCTCATTTTTGAGAAAAAATACAAAAACTGCATTGTAAGAGTATACTAATATGTAAAACCTAAGAATTTGGTTTTTGGTCATCTGAACGCGGGCGGAGCCGCGGGCAATGCTAGTTATAATATAAGGATAGATATTTATAACCATGTGATCAAATTAAAAAAAAAATATTTAACTAAAAAAAAAGACGTTATGACACTTTTTTGATTTTTTTTTTAAAAACAATTATTATTTCTTAGTCTTCTCTTCTTCATAAATACATTAGTCTGATTTGTAATGTATTGAAAGTTTGTACTGTAAGCTGTGATAGCTATATTCACCTACATTCACACATACACACACTCACACTGAGTACTTTTGAAAACAAAACAATCTTCATTTTCATTTTTCAATCAAATGACATAGTACGTTCCTATAGTAGGGGAGCCCAAGAGGGGATTTTCTGTAGTTACTCGAGCGCGGCAGATTAACATAAAAGAGGTTACCTTGCACTCTATTGAGTACTTTCACCATAATATAAGTCTTCTATATAAAGGGGTGCGTCTAGGGAAGCCGATTAAAATATTTAAAAAATGTTTTGATAAGGTAGAAATACTTGAAACCGTCAGATTAAGGTGTGGTAGGCTAGTCACATCCTGAAAAGTGTCCAATTCAATAATCTGCCGATTTGCACAAGCCGAAGAGGAAAAATCGACTATAAAGTTTATGATGATTTTTGCCTCTTAGGCTTGTGCAAATCGGCAGATTATTAAATTGGACACTTTTCAGGGCTCCCCTACTACTATACCTACAAGCAAATCTAATCTTACCAACACCCTGTTTGAATGTCACCGTTCAATGTCACTAAGAATAAAAACAGCTGTACTAATCGACACAGACAGAAGTTATATACACGAAAGGGGTTTAAAAAAATAATTTAATTATCGTCAGGCGCCCGCCAATTTAAACAATTAGTCTCGCATACCCAGCACGAACATCTGTGCTTTAAAGCTGCCGCCGTTTAGATTCCAATACGTATTTATTGGGCCATTAGTTCTCACAACCCTTTATAACGACCCGCATACTCGACGATAAATGCAGTGTACAAAAGGCACTTCACGCCTTTCCCTCGACCTTTTAGTCTCGAGAGTTTCATTTGTTGCTCTTTTTGTGCAATGTCAATATGAAATATTTCTCAAGTTTACCGCACATAATGTAAAGACGGTGTCGCATGTAAGTGCGTGATGACGGCGTTGCTATTGTTACATAAAAAGATTTTTTCATAATTTTCAGGCGCAATATATTTAATTACTGATAGTACCTACTATCCCCCCATCCCCCCTCATATTGAAGGAAGGCCCGTGCTCAGCAGTGGGACGTTAAGAAGGGCTGAATACAAAAAAAATATATAAGTACCTACTATCACAAATGCTACAGATACGTTCATTGACGAGTTAAATTTTTAAGTAAAACCACAGATATTATAATTTCAGTGTAATTAAAACATAACAGTGAATTATTTAATTCTTATTTTTTTTATATTTGATTTTATTTCATCCAATCGTAACATACCACAATGGAAATTACAAATATTACAATCGTTGGTGAAACGACCGTTAACATATCAAGCGTAGCTCATCTCTTATCAGCATCTAATCAGTAAAATCAAACACAAGGGGGAACTCCTAAACAAATACACCAACCTGTCCAATAGATCAGCTACAGGGTCCGCGTATTTAGCCAACGACGCAGTAAAGAGTACGCACTCGTACAACTCTCCGCAACGCCGTAAGAACTCGTCTACGTGCGGCCGCTTCAGTACATACACTTGGTGTACCGCGCCGTCTATTTCCACCGGCACCACGAAGTCTGCGTTGTTGATGGGCTGCGGAATGCGAAATAGAATTATTAATTTCAAATTCAAACAAAAAAAGGACAATCTCATTAATAATCATTAATCACCGTTCGAGTCCCTACAAGAGAATCGAACTACGTTTGGGTGTACTAGGAGATAGCCACACATACAAAAATGTCAGCCACGAGGATGATTTTATAATTTATACATATTATAAAATCCTAACTAAGCCCAATCTGTAAATAAAATATTTTTTTGAAAATCTTGTTGAAATAAACATTATTATAGATACAGAGGCCGAATCTATAGTTTTTAGAATTTTCATCTGTCTGTTACTGCATCACAGAAAAACCACTGGAGAGATTTTGATGAAAGGTATAGTGATAGCTGGTTATCCGAGTCAACATATAGGATATTTTTTACCGCGGGAAAATATCTCATTTCTGAGAAAAAATACAAAACTGCAATGTAAGAGTATACTAATATGTAAAACCTAAGTATTTGGTTTTTGGTCATCTGAACGCGGACAGAGCCGCGGGCAATGCTAGTAGTACATAAATGCTTATAGCCTTTAGAACTTAACTAATCCCTTGTGACTGTCCTTCAAAGAATACCTGTGGCGTGATAATCAGTAGGTCAATAAACAAATATAACGTGGTGTTAATTTAATTTGTATAAATAACTCGAACTTCGATTATGAATATTGATAGTATTTATCACTTCGGCCTCCAAAAAGTTTGTTTAACTATAGAATTGAGTTTTTAGGTAAATCGTGTTAGGTACAACCAGAAATAAATAGTTGTTATTTTTTTACATCTTATCAAAAGTAAAGTATCTAATATCTATGATTCCTTTATGTTCAAGCCAAAAGAGTTCATCATTAAACCCAGAAATAACAAGTTACTTTTTCAACGGATCATCTACCGTCGTCTTCCGCAACCCATTAAAAACAAATCAGTAAGACATTAGCTAACTTTTAACATTTTTAAGTTAGAGTGAAACGTTACTGTGTTTAAACCATTTCCAAGAATCTTTATACTTTAACGGAGTAATCATGAGAAAAACACACGCGAATCCCATATAGGTACCTAAGCAAAATCACTGTCAAAGCTGATCAAACTTTTAAATTAGTATCCATACTATCCATACTAATATTATAAATGTGAAAGTGTGTGTGTGTTTGTTTGTCCTTTTTTCACGTCGAAACGGAGTGACGGATTGGCGCGAATTTCTATGTGGAGATAGTTAGAGGGCTAGAGAGTGACATATTTTTTATACACTTTTTATCGGGAGATTATCTCATTCCCACGGGAAAACACATTATATAATATATAGTCTATTATACATATACCTAGGAAAAAGCCGAGCGAAGCGAGGGTGAGCCGCTAGTCTATACATAATATAAAAAATAAATAAAAAAGACGAATCTGTACATTAAATATTTTTTGGAAGATCTTATTGAAATAAACATTATTATCGATACACAGGCCGAATCTATAGTTTTTAGATATTTTGTCTGTCTGTCTGTGTGTCTGTCTGTTATCGCATCACAAAAAAACCACTGGAGGGATTTTGATGAAATTTAGTATGCTTGATAGCTGGTTATCCGGGTCAACATATAGGATACTTTTTACCACGGAAAAATGTCTCATTTCTGATAAAAAAATACAAAAACTGCAATGTAAGAGTATACTAATATGTAAAACCTAAGAATTTGGTTTATGGTCATCTGAACGCGGTCGGAGCCGCGGTCAATGCTAGTATATTATATACCTATAGTACAGTTACAGTTCTACAATCAAAACGAGAACGTGTCATATTACGTTTTATAACTAGATGGAATGCGCATCACAATTGAGTGATTCATTTCAGTGGGAATCCCAGAAATTACTCATTATGGTAAAATATTAAATTCAAATTCGCAATGTTTTGACTTTAAACCTACATTAATTATTACTAAGTCTCTAACTAACAATTAATTATTATGTGTACATACATATTATGTATATATACATTTTTACTTATTATTTCTCTCTAAAAACTCCTTTGACAGTCACTTATATTTATTGCGCTATAGCAGTGATTCAAAAAGGTGTAACAATACTCGTTATTCAATTTTAACTTCGTTATATATAATACCGTGAATTTTCGCACATATCCAAAAACGACAATTTAGCTGTCAAGAAGGTAGGGAGAGGGGGGAAAGGGGCACTAGCCTCAAAAAAAATTTGCACTTTTCATTCATTTGCATTTCACACACGGATCATACAAAATTAATCATCCCCACTTTACGTGAGAAGGTATTTTTAAAGAAATGTTTTTTTTTTACATTTTATTTTATCACTTGTCGGCATGACTAATATGACTAGGGAACCCTAAAAAAGAGAGACATTAAAAATTGAAAATGATTATATATAAGAATTTTACTTATATTTAAAAGTAACTGGGCGACCGAGCTTCACTCGGAGTTTTTGGCCAAAATTTCAATTTTCTTTTTAATTTAGCTTAAAAACAAAAAAAAAAACAAAACTAAACACTTTGTATCCGACCGGGATTCAAACCTGTGATCAACCTTGCGCCTTGGTCGCTTGACCATGATGCTTATTGCCCGAGCGTGCGAAATAGCGACCATATTGTGCGTGGAATAATGCGAAAGAAAACCGCATGAAAACAAAAAAAACACGCGTTTTCCCAAACATAAGACTAATCAAGATGGATTTTTGGTCCACGAAAATCCGCACATACCAAATTTAAGCCAAATCGTTAGAGCCGTTTCCGAGATCGCCGGTATAAATAAATATATATACAAGAATTGATCGTTTAAAGGTATTAGATATATTAAAATAACAATTATTTTATATTGCTGCCACAACCATGCTAAGTAACAAGAACAATGAAGGTGTAACTGGCACATAGCTAATTTCATATATATATGGTAATCAACGGTATTACTCATGCTCATGCATCGTTAACTTGTGGCTTGTCTAGGCTAGGCCCAGTTTAATCCTTTACTTTAATCGTTCCTTTATACAGCACAGAGTTTAGCCTTTAACATTTTGCCCTTATATATGCTAAAAATATACAATGTAAGGAAAATTTGACATTATAACACTATTATTAATACAATGGTTTGTATGTGTGATTTAGCATTGTGTATGTTTGTTATTCCTGCAATCTGAAAAGTAGGCATGGAACATTTCACGAGTAGCAAGTGAAAAATCACATGAAATTACGTTATCATACGTCACACCTGCTACTTAAATTCACAGTGACTGCTACAAATCACCATAAACTTTATAGTCGATTTTTGCCTCTTCGGCTTGTGCAAATCGGCAGATTATTGAATTGGACACTTTTCAGGATGTGACTAGCCTACCACACCTTAATCTGACGGTTTCAAGTATTTCTACCTTATCAAAACATTTTTTAAATATTTTAATCGGCTTCCCTAGACGCGCCCCTTTATATAGAAGACCTATATTATGGTGAAAGTACTCAATAGAGTGCAAGGTAACCTCTTTTATGTTAATCTGCCGCGCTCGAGTAACTACAGAAAATCCCCTCTTGGGCTCCCCTACTAATACTTCATTTTAATAGCAAATAATATAAAGTGTGACACCAGACCGTCGAAATAAAAAATCATTGCCTGTGAAAAGTAGGTGAAATCACGTGAAAAATATACGTAATTTTATCATATGATAATGATTTAAAAGTAGCAATCATTTCCATGCTTACTGAAAAGGTTGGATAGATATTCTTAGATTTACACGAATATTTGACATCTATACATATTACATACCTATAATAAAATTCTAACTGAGTCAAATCTGTAAATTAAATATTTTTTTGAAAATCTTATTGAAATAATCATTATTATCGATACAGAGGCCGATTCTGTAGTTTTTACAATTTTTGTCTGTCTGTTTATCTGTGACCGCATCACGAGAAAATCACTGAGCAGATTTTGATTAAATTTTGGTATAACAGCTGGTTATCCGGGTCTACATATATACTTTTTACTGCGGGACAATATCTCATCTTTGAGAAATCTACCTATACTAAACGTTAAAACGTAAGTAGGAATAAAATAAAACTATCTTTCGGACTTTTTCGCGGATTTATTTTGATTTTTGGTATCCGACGTTTCGAATGCTTTACAGCAAAATCAGGGTCACGGGAGGGTCCTGTGGCCCGAAAAGATAGTTTTATTCAAAGGGTTAGATAGATTTAATTTTTAGTAGACAGATAGAGTATGATCTAAAGTAAAACGTATACTGCTGATAATAAAATTTGACAGAATAAATGTTTAACTATTTATTTTTGTAAACACAAAAGATACTTAGGGATAAACTCAAGCGAAGAGAGCGTAAGATGCTAGGTCGAGATGTTGTCAAATAATCTCTCAGATTTGAATTGAAACGTCTATTACATTTAATCATCTCATGTTTCTACCTACTCTTTACTCACTCACTGTTCACTCCCTAGTAATTGAGTTGACCGTTTGGGCACAGTTAAATCGTAATAAGATACCTATGTACATATGTATGTATCTTTATATATATAATTCTTGTGTGAGTGTGTATGTCACTGAACTTCTCTCAAACGACTGGACCGATTTTGATGAAATTTTTTGTGTGTGTTCAAGGGGATCTGAGAATGGTTTAGATTCACAATTTGAATAATAATTTTCATCAAAATGGTCCAGAATGTTTTAGCTTATTAAAAAGTTTGAAATTTTCAAATTAAAGACGTGTAGACAGGACAACGTCTGTCGGGTCAGCTAGTATGTTTATAATTTTTCAAAACTATAGGACATTTTATATTTAGTTGGCATGTCACACATGATCTACGACGTTTGCCTGTAATGGCTCAGAGTCAATAGTCTTAGCATTTCTCGGCACGTCTTATTCCTTTGTTTTAAAAGGAAAACAATGATTGTGCGTTATAAATATACATTCTTTCTATAAGGCCTAATGGCTAATGACTTAACAAATAAGGCAGCAGAAGAATCTTTACCTTTAACTTGTAAC